AATCAGATTGGCTTTGATATGCTGGCTTTCAATTTGAGCATTCGTCTTGGCATGTTTTGGATTTAACACCATCGTGGTTATGTTATATCTGTACTGCACTTTTTGGCGTAAGTCACCACCATATGATTGTGGAGGTCTTGTTCCCCACCAAACACACACTGCACACAGAGCACACACACTCCACAAAACACACACAAACACACACACACAAACACACACACACACACACACACACACACACACACACACACACACACACACACACACACACACACAATGTTTTTCCTATGCCTTTCTTCCGACATTTTCTGTGTCTTACTCACTGGTTTCTGTTTGTTTATCATTTTCCCTGTTTTTTCATAAGTGTTTTGCGTGTGTAAGCGAGCACCTTTAAGCAGTGCCTAACAGTCGATGGTTAGCATGCACACGACATCTCTGCTCCAAACAATATGAAGCAATGGCCACTTCCAAAACTGTGACCCATTGCCTTGCACTCATCATTCCCCTCAACCCCCCCCCCCCCTCTACTTGCCCAACATGCCATTGTGGCCTTGGCATGCCATGGTTAAACCACCAGTACTTCCTACTGTCTTCATCCGAATATAACGCCCTGACATCATAGCTGTATTTGGGGCATTTTACCATCCAGATGCGGCGATAATGACCGGGCATTCTATTTGGGTGAAGACGGTAGGCACTTGTGCCTGCGGCTCCAAACGCCCTGCATGCCCAAAAAAGACGAACCGGCGCGGCCCCTCCTTTTAGCGGGTGCTGCCAGCCATCTCACTTCAGAAGCCGAGCCCCGAAAGTTGCATCCACATACAAGCCGCCTATCCTTCTTTTTTTTTTCTTTCTTTTTTTTTGCAAGAAACAGCCCGAGCGACAGCTAGGGGTGCTGATATGATCAGACACCGCTAGCAGTGCCGGGATGGCTCCATCTATTGGTGGGGAGCATCACCTGCTGGAAATTGGGTCCAGCGTCCCTATCAAGTACATTTAAATTGCAATTATACAGTTGGATTTAATCCATGTCAGCTACGATAGCAATAAGGTCGTGACAGGTTAGTGGGCCTGTAGCCTATACTAATCTTTCGATTGCAATGTAATTTACAATGTGAACCATGTTGACTATGAAAGCAATCAGATTGTGGGAGAATTCGAGCTCTATGCCGTTGCTATGTACTCTGTACTAGCTATCGGTTGTAATGTAGTTTGTGCTGAGCTGTTTGTCTGTTTATTTGTTTGTTTATTTGTTTGTCTGTCATTCTGTACTTGTAAGATTGTTACTGTTTGTTCCTGTCTATCCTATTGGATCTCTTTACAGTTGCTATGTACAGTGATCGGGCGGGTCCAACTTATAGTGGGGAGCTGCACCTGCTGGAAACCGGGTCCAGCGTCCCGTTGATACATCTTGTAGATCAGCAATTGTTCTTTGTTTCCTGGGGCTGTGGTACAAGCCGCCTATTTATACCCGAGCTGGGAAACGTACGTACTGGTGGTTTAAGAAGCTGCGAATGCAGCCTTTCCGGCTTGCATGCCTTGTCCCCAAAGCCGGCAGCAACATGCCATGTGTCATCAATGTTTCCAGGAAGCTGTAATAATAATAATAATAATAATAAATAATTAAAAAAAAAGGTATGGGTCGCTATTGCACAGACTATCCCCAATGTCATCATCCACCGCATCCTCTCAGTTCACGTCCCACAGCCAGACAAACAACATACGCAGCAACCTGAGGTGGAGGGACAGACTCCGGACAGTTACTATTGGAGGTGGCTGCTCTTACCACCCCCTGTAGTAGAGGTCGCTGGTTTGGGAAGAAAAAAAAAAAGAAAAAAGAAAAAAAGGTGGCAAATGGACTATCACATGAACCACCTGAAACTGTGTTGTACTGAAAGGCCTTTTTTTTTTTTTTTTTTTTTTTTTTTTTTTTTTTTTTTTTTTTTTTTTTTTTTTTTTTAAACCAACGACCTCTACTAGAGGTCAAGCTGTTGTAGACCAGATCTTGAAACAGCCACGCACTCTCACTTTGGATATTCAGTGGCCCATCATTTGCCCAAGAGAAGGAATATTGGCTTTGGAAACCTCTCATGAAACTTGCGCAATGCCGCTCTGTGATGGCCCACCCGGGATTTGGCTATTGGCTATAGCATGTGATTCGCATGCTTTGTGTCGGGAGGATTACGAAGCTATAGCCCATGCAAGTTTTTTTTTTCATACGTATGTTGACAGCCAACATTCTTCGAGCCTGAATCAGACTAAGATAACAGAGGCGAGCTGCGCTAGCGCTAGCGCCCCGTTGCCGCCAGTCCGGCAAGGCCCGGGCTGCCGGCTCGACCAGTGCCCGGGGGGGGGGTTTCCTCAGGCGCTGGGCCTGTACGCGCGCCCAGCAGACGCGCGTGGTGTTTTGCCACGTGGCGCCCGCTGTTGGTGACCCAGGTGTCCCGCGACGTGTTGACAGGGGTAGCGCCAGCCGTGGAATTATTGACACGTGGAAGTGTAGTGGCGGCAGCCTCAAAGCTATCAGCGATGACAGGGGAGGGCATGGAGACTTCGCTTCATGGGGGCCTGCGGGGAACCCCTCTTGGTCCGCAGGTTGAGGAGGAAGTGTTCGCGCAGACTGTTGTGATGACTTACAAACAGCAGTTGGAGGAGATGTACACGGTGCTGTGCCAAGCGAATGGAGATCTGCCATGCGACGTTCTGCTGGAGGGATTGGAGACCTACGACAGGTGGGATGATGAACTCTACGATCTCATCTCTTTCCGACAGCAGGATGTGGATGACAGAGCGAGGGCGATGGCTGTTTTCTACGATTGCGTCGACATCCTGCAGCAGGTCAAGGATATTTTTGCTGTCCGTCTAGCGACTAGTCGCGCTTGTGCTCCACCGGATACTGACGTACGCACAGCATCGACACCACCAACAACATCGATAACACCATTAACAACACCAATTTCGTCAACGGCAATAACGGCGGCACTGATTTCGACCACGGTCACATTACCAGTGGTCAATACGGTTTTATTGCCAACACCAGTAACAGCAGTGACCGCATCACCAATAGCATCATCAACAAGATTACCATCATCAGCAACAATGGTACCAATAGTGGCTACACAGACTGGCGCCGCATCGCCTGCGCTGTCAATTGCAACATCTACACCAATGATTTCGCTATCTATAGAGATGGCGCCGTCAAATTGTCCTGGTTGTGTTTGCCAACGGGAGTTGTTCGTGCCGGGTTCTGACGCGCGGGGGTTGGAAGAGGGGCCACCCTCGTACGTGGCGTTCGCGGATCTGCCACGATCAAAGGTGCTCATAACGTGCGGCTGCAAAACCCTTGAGGAGGGGCAAGGGTTTGGTGGCAAGTGCGATGTGCGTGTTTCAGCAGACGGCTTTTGGGCCAGCAGCGGCACTGTTGGGGACGCACCAAGGAAAGGCGTCATTCGTCCAAACATAAACAACAATAACTGTAATACTGTGTGCACCGATGACACCAGCAACCAAATTGCTGCCGACATTCGTGGAGGGGTGACTGGGATTTGCCTGTTTTTCATTCCGTCTTCCTTCTGGTCTACTGTGGGGGATGATTGGGGTCAGGAGCGAGAGGGATGGGGAGTCGTTGTGCTTCGCGCACAGGAAGGCGAAGCTGGGATGCGGGAAGTGGGAGGGGGGCGTGAAGGAGTGGGATAGGGACGATAGCTCCCTATTTGTTTTCATGCCCTCTACCCTGTGTGGATTCGCGGATTGCGGTAGGTGATGTTGTAGGCTAGCGAATATGAATTCAGTTTTCTGGCTTCGATGTCCCTCCCTTTTGCGATTCGGTGCGGTTTCGGTGTGATTGCAGTTTAGCTGCTGAATATGATGATCGGGGGGGGGATATGGCGATTCCTACATAACTTCGAGAGAGGTCATGGAGATGCTATGAAGATGACCATGGGAGTAACCATAATATTTGTTTTGGTTTTATGTTCTAACTGCCATTTCCCGTTATGATCTTATGAAGTTTTTTAGTACTGCACGATGACGGATTCGGAATATGATTTTTAGGGGCAGGCTGGCAGCGCTGTTTTTTTGCGGGATCCTGCTGCGAGTGACTGCTGAGTTGAACTCTGCAACGAATGACTTGCGATTCCGGCATGCGGGATCACGTGGACACCGATGTTTTGTGTTGTGTTACAAGTAAGCCACGTGGCGCCACAGGGGGAACGGTTGGGCTCAGCAGTTGGGGTTGTTCATCTGGTTTACTGCTGGCTCTGGGAGCTGGTATCGTTATAACTCAATTTCAATCTTCTTACTCTGATTACTCCTCCCCCTCATACTGCTGCACGGTTCTTCTTCACAAGATTGATGGGGGTTTCAGAATAGGAAGAAGTTTTTGAATTGCGATGGGCAGTTGATCACCTCGGAAGGAGGGCAATCGATGCTGCCAATTGTGTTGAATACTGCGTGCTTCTGTGTTGACATTGCAACCGGTTAGGACGAAGGCTGTGACACGTGGCACGTATAATGATACTTTGGATGTCTACAGGGACGCTGGACCCGATTTCCAGCAGGTGCTGCTCCCCACCAATAGATGGAGCCTTCCTGAGCATGCTAGCGGTGTCTGCTCTTACCAGCACCTCTAGCATTTACTCGGGCTGTTTCTTGTTAAAAAAAAAAAAAAAAAAAAAGAAAAGAAAAGAAAAGAAAAGAAGAAGATAGAAGAGATCAGCAGGGAGTAAAGACTGTTGGAAAGTCTTAGAAGGGCTTGTTAGGGATCCTGAGGGCTGTGAGCATTCGTAGGACCTCTGTGATAGCCTACTGCATGCGCAGTTAAAAAAAGAAAGAAAAAAAAAGCGTATTGCATGAGCAGTTCCTGAATAGGTCATTAGATATTCATGATCGTTCCCATGCCTTGTGATTCATATCGTGTTCACAGACTGTTCTCAGCCGAAGCCGGGTAATGGCCCCGGTATCGCAAATGATCTGAAATGTTCTCAATGATCTGTACAACTCGAAATGGGACGCTGGGCCCGGTTCCCAGCGCGTGCTGCTCCCCACGAATAGACTGGAGAATTTGTTTTCAAAAAAAAAAAAAAAAAAAGATAAGATTCCTTTTAAATCTGTCGTGTACGGCACTCCTGACATGTCATGTCCTATTTGTAGACAGGGGCTCAAACGGGCAATGGCTCTACAATTGCAGTCCGTGCGAGCCACGTTCCCTGTCACATCTGTCTATATACCATGCCATTTGATGCAACAACTTCCAACTGCAAGATTTGGATGTCGTGCTTCCATCTGATTACATTCTGTATATGGGACGGTGGACCCGTTTTCCAGCATGTGATGCTCCCCACCAATAGACGGAGCCTCTCCCCGGGTGGTAGTGGTGTCTGTTCTTATCAGCACCACTAGCACCGGTGGGGGTGTTTTTTATTAAAAAAAAAGTCCACAGTCGAACCAGTCCTGTCCGGTTTATAAGGGTGGGCCACTTACCCATAGGCAACGGCTCGTCGTCGACTCAAATTTCCTTGCAACCCAAACAACCAAATGATGCTTACCAGCATTGAAGAAGTCGGGCCCAAGGGAAAGAAAAAGAAAGACTCGAGATGGATGGAGAAACGAGATGGTCCCCTTGAGTAAAGGTGGCAGTCTGAGAGATCATGTTGTTAGGCAGCAAAAACAGAAGTATGACGGCCAAAACCGAGAAGAGCGGAAGATGGGAGAGGCCCACGGAAAATACTGGAGACATGAAGAATAGGATACGATACATAGGGCATGGTAGGTTCGGATGGGGTAAGATAGGGTAGGATAGGATTTAGAGGGCAGATAAGAACCAATAGGCTTAGGGCAGGAGACAAGAAGACAACATGAGATATACAAGGTAGAATAAGGTTGGGTAGGGTAGGATAGGGTAGGACAGGGTCAGATTATTTGGGATAGGTCTGGGTAGGGTAGGGTAGGGTAAGGTAGGGGTAGGGTTGGGGTAGGGTAGGGTAGGGTAGGGTATGTAGGGTAGGGTAAGGTATGTTACAATACGATAGGGCCCATACGGGTAGGATTTGGTAAGGCAGAATAGGGTGGGATAGGGTTGGGTAAGATAGGGTCGGGGGTCGGATAAGGTCAAATAGGGTCCAATAGGGTAGGATAGGAGACGAGACGACACCATGAGACAGATAGGAGGGTAGGATAAGGTCGGATAGGGTAGGATAGGGTCAGATCCATACATGCAAGTGGACGCCGTGCGGAAAATTCCGCATGTTTGACGCATGAGCGGGCGGACCCGCATGGTGTGGCGCACGGGGGAAATATTCACTCAAGAACAAAACAGGGGTCGCACGGCTGGGTGAATGGTCACCTGCATCGTTCCGTTTAAAGATTTGTTGTGGGATGGGCCAAGAAACAAAAAAAATTAGTGGGAGGGTAATGCCACTACCTAAGGGTCAAGAGTCAAGACTGATGTCCCATACACCGTTTTGAGGCTATTTCTCATGCCCGATTGGACGGACAGAAAAATATGTACGACTGTGCTTGAAAAAGATCAATTCCATAGGTGTTGCACTCTTTTTTTTAATTTTTTAAAGGCTAATTCTTTAAGCCCAACCAATTCAATTACCTGTCAAATCTGGACAGGACGGCCTTTCAGGCCTTTTTTATTGTCATTATAGTATTACGGGGAACCCCGTAGCAGCCACATCCGTGCTCAAGCCTCCAACGAGGGAACATGCGGGAGCTGCACCCACCAGCAGGTGCGATACCTGCTACAGCAGGTGGGCGATACCGGCCAGGGGTCAGCTGGTAGCATCAGGACCGAGCTTCCTCGACGGGCCAGTCACTGTGCCTCCCCTCCGGTCCCCTCCCCCTATGACATCAGCAGTCTCTGCTTGCCACTCGGGGGGACCAACGGCATATCTCTAGGTGGCGGGCTCCAAGCTTGCCCAGGAAGGTGCATGAGGCCAATTGGGTTTGAACCCAAGACCTCCTGAATGCCACTTGCGTGCCTTACCAACTGAGCTAGGCCGCTGGATGGTGTTGCACTCTTCTGTAGCTACAAAAACAGCAAAAAAAAAAAAAAAACGCAAAAAAAAAAAACGCAAAAAAAAAAAAGGCAAACTGCCACTGGTACAGCGCATGAGCAGGTGCCGCCCTGCACGTCGTGCGGCGCACCGGACGGTATGGCACAACGTGCGTTTGCAAGTATGGTCAGATCGCTCAAGGATAGGTTCAAATAGGGTAGGATAGGGTTGGATAGTGTTGGATAGGGTAGGATAGGGTCAGATCGCTGAGGATAGGTTCGAATAGGGTAGCATAGGGTCTGATAAGGCATATTCCAATATGGTAGGGCCAGGAAGGGGTTAAAAATGACAAAGATAAGATTATTAGAGAGAGAATTTCAAAAATAGGAGAACGAGTAGGCAACGGGTGACTAGAGAAATGGACAGAACAAGAGAATAGATGGGAAATTATATCGATGCCTACATCCTAAGAGTCAATTCCTCTGAAAGGATATCCAGAGATGCTATCAATGGAAAGTACACATGTTTGCTTCACCATTTCCAAGCTTTCTTGTACAGGTCGGTTTAAGATGATGGCAACAAACACCTTCATCATTTCCAAGCCTTCTTATACATGATGGTTTAAGATGATGGAAGCAAAGTCTAAGCTAGTGTGCACAATGCACATTAAAC